CTACTAAAAATGGAAAGAAATTAATGGCCAACTAAAAATATATAGAAAAAATCAGCCGGGCATGCGGTGCATGCCTGAGTCCCAGTACTCGGGAGGAGGCTGGGGCAGGAGGATCGCTTGAGCCCAGGAGTTGGAGGTTGCTGTGAGCGAGGCTGACGCCACGGGCACTCACGCTAGGCCCGGGTGACAAGAGCGAGACTCTGTCTCAAAGAAAAAAAAAAAAAAGGAGTAGTTTTAATCTCTATAATTTTTGCTAAAGAACCGGGTGTCGAATTCACAACGGGATCCCGGAGGGGTGGTAGGGGGGCAGAGCATGTGCTGTAGGGATGAAGGAATCAAGGCAGAATAGGCGGCGATTGTATCTTCTCGTGAGGGGTTTCATAATGTAGGGGGTTGCTGCGGATCTGGGCACTGGTGAAAGGGAAGGATGCATGTGGACTGAAGTTGAAACCTGAGCAACGGAAAGAGGGGAAGCGCGGTTGATCGAGCGCCTGTAGTTTAAACCAAAGACACCAAGAGAGCACGATGCGCAGCGCGGTGAGCACGTTGGTAAGTGGACCCAGGGAGCTTCACTGCTCCCCTGGGAATAGCAACACACTGGGAATGCTCTTGGCAAACTTTGCATCGTAACAATGGCCGTACAGCAGTAAATTCCTGCCAGCTTCCCGACTGCGGAACAGGGAAAACCTTGCAGCGCGCCTCTTTCTCGCGTCCCACCCAAAAAGGTCCTCTAGCTCTTTTTTACGCGGACACCCAGGACATTCTGACATGACGCCCAGCCCCTTTTTTCCCAAGTTCCAGGCCCTTGCTGGGAGATATGGTGAAAACACTTCATGCTTCCTGGACTTTTCGAGTCCGGGCCAGGAGAGTTTATACTCAGCTGTCAACGTGTAAGACGGTAGCAGCAAGAGGAGAGGAAGACAGCGACAGACAGATGACAACAGAAATAGAGCCAAAAAGAATCTAGACACTACAGCCGGGCGCGGTGGCTCACGCCTGTCATCCTAGCCACTCTGCGGAGGCGAGGCAGGAGATCGCTTCAAGTCAGGGAGTTCGAAACCAGCCCGAGCAAGGCGAACCCCGTCTCTACTAAGAAATAGAAAGAAATTAATTGGGATGACTAAAAAAATTATATATATATAGAAAAAATCAGTCTGGGCGTGGCGGTGCCATGCCTGTAGTCCAGCTACTGGGAGCCTGAGGCAGGAGATCGCTTGTAGCCCAGGAGTGGAGGTTGTGTGAAGCCACGGCACTCTGCCCGGGCAACAAAGTGAGGACTGTGCTCAAAAAAAATAAAAAATAAAAAATAAAAAGATCTATACTAGATTACAGACATAAACAAGCAGAGACATAGATAGATCTGCATTGTGGCGCAACCATTGATTGTGAGTTCATAGAAAGCAAGAGGGGGACGGTAAATTCTTGTAAATATCGAGTGTCATGATTTGGACTGAGGCTATTTTTCTGCAAATTGTTACAATGTTAGATGTAGCAGACTGCAGGGGAAAAATATCCAGCCATGGTAACTTGTTTCACATATATTTGGTAACAATGAGATACTCTTGGCATACTTTCTGATGACTTTCTGGCAGCACTCACATGTTAACACACTTATATAGATAACTGTTTCTTCATAGTAAGTGCCGGGGGTTTATTTGCACATAAATTCTAGGAAGGATCCTCCTGGGGACCGTTAAGTCAAGTCATGGAAATTAGAGAGAATAAAAAAACACTGAGTCGCAGTCAGCGGCCCTAAAAAGTGATAGTGTAAAAATGCCACACACACAAAAAAATATAAAAAATGTGGGCTCATAACTTTCCTTCCCACTGATTTGTTTGCTTTTGGCACTCAAATGCTTTCGGGGTGGCATCTATATTAAATACAATGTCCACGTTTCTCATGGGAAAACAGTGGAATTGCTGGTCAAACACGGCAGATAAATATTTCAGGTTCCGCCGTGTAAAACAGATAAATATTTCCCTCAAGAGTTACTTTGACTCTCATGCTCTATTTATAAAAGTTTATTGAACTTCAAGCTAGTGGTCGTTGTTATTGAAAATATAAGAAAGATAATTTATGAAGAAAAAAAAAGATAATTGAAGCCTCTGGGTGGATGACAGTACCTATTAACTGCATGAAGCGTATTCATATTCCGTGATCAGATAAACAAAAAAGGATTATTGTCTGTATATTGGACAAGATTGTTGATGGGAGAGAAAAAAATCAGGTTTTTTAAATCCGCTGTTAATTTTATATTACTAGCGTACTAATCGTTAATTTTCAGTAGTTGAATTTTTCCTTTAAAATAGAAACAGATTTCGTGATTTTTTTTAAATAATGAATTTGTTTCAAGTAATATCTAAAGATACCTCTGCTACTCATGTAAACCATGACATAGAAATCAACAGAACTAGGGCTTGAAAGATAAAAGTTAAGAGATTTAACTTAAGCAACAGAAAATCTGATCTTTTTTCTATAAGCATAAAATCTGAAATAAAAGCATTTAGTCATTCACACATAAATTTAAATGATTTTTTCCAACAATTCCAAGTAGTCTTAAAAATACTTAACATTACTCCAAAAAAGTGTGTTGCCTGAACATTAACTGATCTTTTTATAAAGTTATTTATATTTAGGCAGATGTATTTCTTCAGACTGGAGGTTTTATGAGTTCCACGGAATGCAAAGTGTCCCTTGAGCCATTGGATTGGCCTTTAAAAATATTTCTTCCATAAATTAGATCAACAGTAAATAAACTCATACCTCAAAAGACTGAAGGTTGAGGTAGAATCTTTAAATATACAATGTCGAGTTGTTTCTAAAACTTGCAAATGAGCTGATAAAAATTCTTAAGAAAACACTACTTTTGACATGAGGATTCAAAAGCACCCAAAATAGGTAGCCTCAATATTTGATAAGTTTTTTTTAAAAAATGGTAAAAACTCTAAACACGGCAATATTGCAAACTTGTTCTTTGTTTTTGTTTTTTTTAAGACAGAGATCTCATCTGTTGCCCAGGCTAAAGTGAGTGCCGTGGCATCAGCCTCGCGCACAGCAACCTCCAACTCCTGGCTCAAGCCATCCTCCTGCCTCAGCCTCCTCCCGAGTGGCTGGGACTACAGGCACGCGCCAACCTGCCCGGCTCATTTTTTGTCTAATGTATATATTTTTAGTTGGCCAATTAATTTCTTCTATTTTTAGTAGAGATGATCTCGGCTTGCTCAGGCTGCGTCTCACACTCCCGACCTCGAGCGATCCTCCCGCCTCGGCCTCCCAGAGTGCCAGGATGACAGCGTGAGCCACCGCCCGGCCAGCAAACTTGTTTATAAGAGAAAATTGCAATCAAATCTCGTTCTCATACTCTTTTTTTCTTTTTTTTTAAAACTAAAAATTCAAACGGAACAGCCAATTTTACGTTCACTAGCAAACTTAAGAGCGTCTGATTATTCCGCTACAAAATGAGTATATTTATTCCTCGTGCATGCAAACAATGAAAATTTCTCTTTTGGAGTCAGCCTTAAAGATGTTTGTTTACAATTTCTGGGATATTACTGCCCGTCAATCTGGGTAGGCGAGTTACACTCTGCATGAATGTGTTACATGCCGCAAAACAAACAAAGCAATTTTATTTAAGTATGCAATATATATTAACCTACACTTCATGGGCTTCCACCTTACTATTAGAGCTTTTTCTCCAATAATATTCTCCCTTTCTGCACGTGTTTTTATCACCTGCGGTTGATCGTGGCCCTGCTTACTCTGCGGACTCTTACTAAACAAGGTCAAACAATTAAGAAGAGAAAGAATAAAAAGGAGAAATATCAACACATAGTCCATTCAACCAACCCTCGCCAGGCGTAAGGACCTACACGCCCTTCTGATTTCAAGATGCTTCTTTTTAAGCACCAAAAGGAGGCGAGAAAGCTCCTTTTCTTGCTGCACCCCTTTAATAAAAGGATTCTCCTACAAAAGTTGGATTCAGCAAGAGGCCACACTAAGGACCTAGAAGGCCACAGTGCCCCTGGCCGGCGGAGCCCATATAAACACTGATGAAAGAGAAAAAAGACAAGACTTTGCTTTAATTTTGCAATCGTTAGGACAATGCATTCTACATGTAGCTCATTCTTGTTATAAGGTGGCCGAAATCTTGTACTTTAAACATGATCAAAGTTTAACTCCATCCACTGTAAGGAGGAAAACTCCTCTCATTCAAACTCCACCTGCCCAAAGTTATAATTTTTTTTTAAACAAGGAGTCTACTCTGTGCCCAGCTAGAGCGGAGTGCCGGGCGTCAGCCTCGCTCACAGCAACCTCAGGACTCCTGGCCAAGCCATCTCCTGCCTCGCGCCTCCGAGTAGCTGGACTACAGGGCATGCGCCACCAGCCCGGCGTAATATTTTTTTCTATATATGTTCAGTTGTTATAGTTCTTTTATTTATATATATTCTAAACGTCTTCTATTTGTACTATATTCTATTTTGTAAACATTTATTATACTATAATTCGTATATATATTATATATATTCTAAACATTCTATTTATATATATTCTAAACATATTTCTATATATGTTCAGTTCAATAATATTGTTCTATTTTTATAGAGAATGGCGGTCTCGCTCATTGCTCAGGCTGTCTCGAACTCCTGCACCTCGAAGCGATCCTCCCGCCTCGCCTCCAGAGAGCTGGGATGACAGGGCGTGAGCCTCCGCGCCCGCGCCTGTAATCTTGGATCTTGGACGATGAGCAATCACACACTCACAGCTAGAGTTCTGAGACGAATCCAGCCATTCTCATACACGGGTTTAATCTCGCCCCTCCACCCAAAAAGCAAGTGGCCTAGGTAAGGCCACCTAAGAAGTTACGTACCTCTGCGCAATCGACCTCCGGGTCTCCTGTGCCTCACCCAAGCCTAGTGGGTGGGACTCCACAGAGAGGCTCCTGCACTGTTCAACGCTAGCGACTACGCCAGTGAAGAGGCATGCGGCAGTTTGCGCAAACCCATGGCCCAATAACAATTTCTGAGTTTGTAGCTTTCCTCGATGTTGACCTTCTTTTGCCAGGAGAAAGAAGCGTACTTCCTGCCTTCCCCCTCTCTGATGATGTAATCCCCTTTGGCATAGTATCTGTTCGGAGGAGAGAGAAAGAAAACGTCAGATCACTGGGAGACAAGACACTCGAAAGCATGAAGTAACAGATCTCTTGGGTCTTCCCAACGGCCTGTTCCACACCTGTTTCTTTTCAATATTTTGCTCACTGTGTCTGTTAGCTTTTAGTATTGCCAGTTATAATATATATGTATTGTTATTGCAGTGCTATATAAAATAGCTATAATATATGTACTATATGTACATATATATACATCTATATATGTAGTATGTATTGTAAAATATAGTATTGCAGTTATATAAATATATTATTATTGTATTCAGTGTAATATAAATATATACATTATCGGTTATATATATGCTACATAATATGCATAATATGTATTGTATGGTAAACATATATTTCTATTGCATTTAAATGATATATGTATTGTATGCAGTTGGTATAACGAAGTATATTGACACATATATGTATATGTATGTATCATAATATACATATATAGATTGTATGTAAAATAATGCTATTGGCCAGTTATAAATATATATGTATTGTATTGCAGTGTATATAAATATATAGCATAATATGTATACTATAGTACAATAATAGTTCATATATATTATGTATTGTAAGAAAGATTATGTATTCATTTATAAAGGGTATATATGTATTGCTATTGCAGTTGTTATAATATATACATATATGGTATATATATTACAGTATATACCACATTGATATATTTTGTATTGTAAAGAATATATTATGCAGTGATAAATCAGATATGTATTGTATTGCAGTGTATATAAATAATAACTATATGTATATATGCTACATGTATTATAATATATATGTATTATGTAACGAATATATTGTGCTTATAAATAGTATATGTATTGTAGTTCAGTTGTATATAATACTATACATAGTATGTATTATATGCCTACACTATATATACATATATAATTATTGTATGTAAAATATAGTATTGCAGTTATAAAATGATATATGATGTATATTGCAGTTGCCTGGTATATGAAAGTGCTATATATGTATTGTATGTAAAATAATATTGGTAGTTGCAGCTTTATAAACGCTTAGAAAAGCCAGGAGACTTTTGCTGTCTTCTTCTGCTTTTTTTTTTTTAATCTGCTACTTATGTTATCTGCCACAGAGAAAAATTCGCCTGGGATAGCTGATTTCAGCGTAGAGACAGAAGCATATGAAAAGAAATGAGAGCCAGGTTAACAACCACATATAGACAGGTGGGCCTTTTACCTGCACAATCTGAAATAAAATCTTTTTTTTTTTTTTTTCCCTTTGGACAGAGTCTCTCGCCTTGTTGCCGAGCTAGAGTGAGCTGCCCGTGCATTCAGCCTCGCTCACAGCAACCTCCAACTCCTGGCTCAGTTATCCTCCTGCCTCACCTCCCTCCCGAGTAGCCTGGGTAGCTTACAGGCATGCGCCACCATGCCCGGCTAAGTTTTTCGTATATGATATTAGTTGGCCTATTAATTTCTTTTCGGTATTTATAGTAGATACACGGGAGGTCTCGCCTCTTGTCTCAGGCTGGTCTCGAAACCCCTGACCTCGAGTTGATCCTCCCCGCCTCAGCTCCCAGAGTGCTGGAGACACGGCGTGGAGCCACCGCGCCCTGGCCTGAATACAAACTCTTAGTGACGGGAAACAGTTCTGAATCAATCGAGATTTAGAGTTTAGAAAAAAAGAACTAAATTAATTATCATAAAAAAGTTGAAAATATATAACAAGCAATGGATATTAGTAATACTGCCTGATTATAATCCTCTGATAAAGCAATGGCCAGAAGATTCTACACAGAAAGTCACTCTTTGTCATATGTATATTTCCAATATTTGTCATCATAAAAGTCGACATTAGAATTTTTTTTACATGCAAATTCTACTATTTGAGAGGCTTATCCTTCGAAAGGCTCAACTATCATGTTTCTTTTATTCGTATCCACGTCCATTCTCTTGCATACGTTGTGTGATGTGGAGAATTCTGGCTAGAGAAAAGTAAGATCTGATTTTTTCTTCAGGATAAAAGGAACAGTCAATTAGCCTTTGGAAAAAAAAGAGATTGAAAACTGTCTGCCTCCTCTTTGCTTTTTTTTTGGTTAGGTAATATATATTTTATTTACTTTACACATTTTTTTGATTTTGTTACTTTCTTAACAATAATCTTCGGTGAGAACTACTGCTTTAATTCTACGTTGCTCTCCTAAATCCATATAGAACTAAAACATGATCTCTTAATATTTACACAGCATCAAAATATTGGCTGGTTAATTTTAGTTTTTTTTTTAGAAAGGTTATAAGTTAACGCACATAAATAGCCTTCTCCTGTTTTTCTTTAGACTCGAAGAATCATTCCCGATTAAAACTATTCTATCTTTGTTGTTTTTAACTCCCGGTATCACTCGCTCAAACCTATTTACGTGTATGGTAATTAAATATTACTTCTAATATCCGATAACAGGCCTTTATGTTTACAGCAATTTACGAGACATTTCAACTCTCGCTGGGAGGGATAGTGTGTATTCTTGAGGGGGAAATGTACTTTTGAGACATAATAGATCTATGATTCAAACTAAATCGCGCGAGAGTACATATGCAAGAGATATGGACGGAATAAATAAAAAGTAAACAATGATAATTTGGATTTCCGAAGGTAATCCTTTAATCAAAGGAATTAGGAATTGCAGTGTAAAAAAATTCTAATGTCGAGCCTTTTGATGATGACAAGATATTTGGAAATGGTTTCGCTGAGATTTTCCCTGTCAGCAACCCATAAAATTTGAAAATAGTGCTACATTCACCTTCAAGAGAGTTTAGGAGTGCTTAGTTTTCTATCACTTTGTAACTATTACAATCACAAGCTTGGTGGCTTGGACAACAACCCCCTTTTATGTTCTCTCAGTTTCTGGTGGGTGCAGAAAGTTCTAGAATCAAGACGGCGCGGCGGCTCACACCTGTCATCCCTAGCACTCTGGACCGAGCAGGAGATCGCTCGAGGTCAAGGAGTGCGAGACCAGCCTGAGGCAAGAGCGAGTACCCCCGTCTCTACAAAAAGTAATAAGAAGAGAAAGGTAATTGGCCAACTAATATAACATATGAAAAATGAGCCATGCATGGTGGCATGCGTATCCCAGCTACCGGGGGGAGGCTGAGCAGGAGGATCGCTGGAGCCCAGGGAGTTGGAGGTGCTGTGAGCTAAAGCGACACTACGGCAATGCAAAGCGAGACTCTGCCAAAAAATAAAAAAACAACAACAACAAAAAAACGAACAATGCCATCGGAACCCGCACAGTCGGGATCATCTCTCGGCACTCACTCTAGCCCGAGCGACAGAGTGAGACTCTGGCTCAAGAAAAAAAAAAAAAGAAAGAAAGAAAGAAAGAAACCAGGTTATACATACCTGTAACTCTGTTTAGTTATATTAAGCTATTTATTTTTAAAGATCAAAGATAAAATTGATCTCATCTTTGTGTCTACCATAACTCTCCCCATTTCACATTTTTACATAAATAAATCTCTACAGTTTGACCTTCACTTAGCAGTTCTGTGTCTGAGTCTCAACCCCCATCTCTCTTCTCCTGCCCCTCGGGGACCGCAGGTATGTGGCTGGCTCCATCTAATCCCCCAGTCTCCAGTCCTGGTCGTGGGGAGTTCTAACACCCTCTGCTGCCCACGACAACAAGCCACCTGCTTCCTCACCAGTGAGATTCACGATAAAATAATTTTAGGTTTGCAGTTTGCTTGAAAATAGTAGCGTGAAGAGACGGCAGGGCGTGCTGAAGGGGTATGGATCGGGCGCAGATTAATCGGCGCTAAACCTGCGCTATGGGTTCATGGCACTGCTCTGTTTTTGGATACGCATAAAATTTTATATAATAAAAAGATTTTTTCAATGCTCTAAAGTTCTTTTGTCCAGCTCTATATCTCTCCAATTCCATGTTCAATAAATGTTGTGGTTCAACTGTTGCAACTATATATGCCCTGTGATACCCTTTGTCATTTTATTATTTTTGTTCCTATTCATAGGAGTATTCTTCCCTTCCTTTCCCTTCCTTCCTTCCTTCCTTCTTCTTCTCTTCTTTCTTCTTCCTTTTCCTTCCTTCTCTTTCTTCTCTTTCTTCTTCTTCTTTTTTTCTTTCTTTCTCTCTTCTTTTCTTTCTTCCGTCCTCTTCTCTCTTCTTCCCTTCCTCTCTCTCTTTCTTCTTCTCTTTCTTTCTTCTCTCTTTTCTTTCTTTTCTTCTTTCTTTCTTCTTTCTCTCTCTTTCTTTCTTCCTCCCTCTTCCTTTCCTTCCCTTCTTTTTTCCTTCTTTCTTCTTTCTTTCCTAAATCCTCTTTCTTCTTTCTTCTTCTTCTTTCTTTCTTTTTCTTTCTTTCTTTCTTTCTTTCTTTCTTTCTTCTTTCCTCTCTCTTTCTTTCTTTCCTCCCTTCCTCCTTTCCTTCCTTCTTTCTTTCCTTCTTTTTCTTTCTCTTTCTTTTCTTCTTCTTTTTTCTCTCACTTTCTTTCTTTCTTTCCTTCTTCTTTCTCTTCCTTCCCTTCTCTTTCCTTCCTTCCTTCTTTCTTTTTCTTCTCTTCTCATTTTCTTTTTCTTTCTTTCTTTTCTTTTTTTTCTTTCTTCCCTTTCTTTCTTCTTCTCCTCCTCTCCTCTTCTCCTTTTCCTTTCTTGTACAAAGTCCTCATCTGTTGCCCTGGCTAATTGCCGTGGGGCGTCAGCCTTTTCTCACCAGCAACCTCCAACGTCCTGGCCTCCAAAGCGCTTCCCTCCTGCCCTCAGCCTCCCGAGTAGCTGGGACTACATGCATGTGCACCATCCGTCCTCCATTTTTTTCTATATAG